AAAAAAAATCTGTAACTTCGCCGTCTTCCTGCCTTCAACTCTTCATGTCCTCTCTTCACTGTCTCACCTTCCCTGCTCCCTGCTCCTCGATCTCCAAAAATGGTGGCATCAACCTCACAACCCCAAACGCACCCAATCTCTCTGCAAAACCTTCATCTCTCAATCCCCACAATGCTCTCCATCAAAACTACCCTGATTTTCCCCTTTTTCTTCCCGACCTGTCTTCAGATGCGAGGGAGAAGATCCTTAGCCTGGAAATCATGGGCATCGACTCCAGCCGCGCTCTTGCCCTGCACCCTGATCTCCGCGCCGCTTCCCCTGATTCCATCCACTCCGTCATCTCCTTCCTCCTCTCCAAAGGTATACACCACAAAGACCTCGGCCGGATTCTCGGCATGTGCCCGAGAGTTATGACATCAAGCATCGGCAAAGATCTAGTCCCAGTCTTCAAATTTCTTTCCTGTGATCTCAAGGTTCCGGATTCGGAATTTCGCCGCGTTATAAAGAAATGCCCTAGGTTTCTGGTCTGCGATGTGCGAGACCAGCTCCGGCCGGCGCTAATTTATCTGCAGAGGTTAGGGTTTAAGGATGTCACGGCGCTTGCTTTCCATGATCCGGTGCTGTTTGTTTCCAGCGTGGAGAATACGCTTATGCCCAAGTTGCAGCATCTAATGCGGCTTGGTCTGTCGAGGGAGGAGGCAGTTGGGATGGTGCTGAGGTGCCCTAGTTTGCTTACTTTTAGCATTCAGAATAACTATAAGCCAAAGTATGAGTATTTTGTGAGGGAGATGGGGGGAGGATTGGAGGAGCTCAAGGACTTTCCGCAGTTCTTTGCTTTTAGTTTGGACAAGAGGATAAAACTGAGGCATCGGGTGATGGCGGAGATGGGGCTGAGGCTGCCATTGTCGTTGATGCTGAAGAGCACTGATAATGAGTTCAAGGAGTTGTTGATGCAGAGAGGTAGGTAGGAATGTTAGTTGCTTTCTTTTGCTTCTTGCATTATGTGCATAAGATTCTGTTTGTAAGGCCATCTGAAGTTCTCCGAGTTTATTAGCAGGTTTAGTTATTGATAGTTGACGGCAGAAGGTTTGGATATTTACGTACACAGCACACAATTCTTATGTATTTACATATCTCACGTCTAAATTTCATATTTACACACATAGCATTCAAATTTTTAATATCACATAGAAAATCACTATTATCATTTTTAAAAGTGAAATACACCTTTTCATGCATAGGTTTGAAGCACCAAAGTGCAATGTTTGTAAATATGAAATGACACTTTAGTGCTTCAACACGATTGGGTGCCAATTTACCATTAAACTAGGCTAGGACCCCTTGAAACCTAGTTTAGCTCAATTGTGTCGAGTGTAGAGTCTGATTTACTTTGGCTAAAATAGCAACAAGGAGAGAGACAAAGGAACCTCAGTGTCGCAAAAACAGTGCTTCTGTGCCATAAGATTTGCATGGCCGCACTTGAATTGGGCTTAGCTAGACTAGACGACTGCGATACGCCAAGTAACGACGTACCTACGCCGCGGTTCTTTTGATTCCAGGTTCCGGATTAGATGAATTGGAATAATTATGCTGAGGAGTGGCGTGATTACTCAAGGGGTTGTTTTTCTCCCAATTCGATTCTTAAGTCCTCCATTCAGAGTAACAGTACTTTTCTCTATTGCGAATCTCTTGTGCGCGGTGAAATCTCAAAGGCATTTTGTGTGGAGCGGTGAAGTTCGAGAGATGGATTTTTGAGCGCGTGTGATTTCTCTTATGCAATCAAGGCAAGATTTGGAGCGGAATTATTGTAAGTTTCAGTGGTGTAGAGAGAAGATCCGAGTGTTGTAAATTTCTGTAAATTTTTCCTCACATAGTAAAATTTTTTGGTGTGGCTTGGCTCTGTGATTTTTTTCCGTTGGGTTTATTCATGTCAAATCACATTGTATTTTTCTAGGATTACTTTATTGTGCTTTTCCATTAGATATATTGTTCCAAATTTATCAAATCAGTGTGATTCTTCTGCGTTGTGATTTTGCTTGTAAACTAATTGAAACCCAAGTTTCCATACCAAAAAGTAGTATCAGAGCGGAATTTCTTTTCTAAAGACCTTTGATTCGAGTAGGAGCTATGACCGACCGACGAAACAAGGTACAAAATCGAGAAGTTCAATGAATCGAACTTTCTATTATGGAAAATTCAAGTTGAAGATTTATTGTATCAGAAGAAATTGTATTTGTCCTCACAAGGAATCACCAATAAGCCTGAATGATGTCTCTGAAAGAATGAGAAGTATTGGATCGGACGACTCTAGGTTTGATCCGTCTTCCACTTTCCTCATTTGTTGCGTTCAATAAAGTGAATGAGAAAACTATAGTGGATTTCATGGCGACATTGAAAGAATTAATGAAAAAGCTTATGTTTCAAATAAGGTTTTTCTGATGAATATGTTAGTCAATGGAAGATGGCTGAAATCAGTTCAGTTGATGAAAACTTGAAAAATTTTCATATTATAACTAGCCATTTATGTTCTGTGAGCATCAAATTTGATGGCAAGGTTTGGAAAATGTTAATTCTGTCTTCATTGTTGAATAGTTAGGATAGATTTATCACGACAATGAGTTACATTTTAGTTAATATAAAATTGAACTTCGATGACATCGTGAGGTTAGTGATGATTGAAGTAACTCACAGAAAGACAACGAGCGGTGAATGTTCAAGTTCTGTGTTTAATGTTAAAAATATGGGAATAAATCGAGACAAGAATACAAACAATGAAATATTTAAATCCATAAGTGAAATGTCCAGGTCGGGGAAAGGAAATGATGGGTGAATGATGAAAATGTGGATAAAAAATGACATTTCAAGAAGAACCACAAAACTCCAATGAAGGTTGGTGGTGGTCAAGATGGAAATGTCTCTACAAATATCTTCACAGGACAATCCAAGGTGACTTATAGTTTTATCCCTAGTCAGAGATGTTTAAAAATTACACTTAGATTGATCTAAGAATGTTTATTTTAGAAATAACGAGAAATGTAATATCGTAGGGAATGATGATGTTGATATCAGGTTGTCAAATAGAACAATCTGAAAGCTCAGTGAAGTTAGACATGGTCCAAGTTTAAAGTGAAATCTGTTCTCGGTGAGCCAGCTGACAAGGTCAGGGCATGCGACTACTTTCATTGGTGATTTGTGGAAGATGACCAGGGGGTAATAGTGATGACTCGGGACAACATTGAAGACATTCTTCACCTGATCAATGAGATAATACAATTTATTGATGTGGCTAGAGCTAAGGTTGATTCGGTCTTTGACACTGCAGACTTGGCCATATGTGTGAGAACTGTATGAAATATTTACTTTTAAAGAACAAGCTTTAGAGTTTGAGATTTGTGAATTTAGATTTTTGTGAATATTGCATATATGACAGGTAGAATAAAGATTCTTTCTCCAAATGTGGGTTAATGATGAAGCCAAAGAAGCTGGAGTTAGTGTATATTGACGTATGAGGTCTTATTTCACTTCAGTCCTTTGGAGCTTCCCATTATATCACTTTCATTGACGATCACACCAAAAATGTGTGTGTTTAGTTCTTAAAACATAAATCTTATGTATTTGAAGTGTTTAAGGGACAGGTTATGGTAGAAAAAGAGAAGCATGGGACTGAAGTGCCTTAGATTAGATAATATGTGTGAGTATCATGATTTGAGGTTCAAGAATTGATGTGCTGCAAATGGATCATGCATGAGTTCACTGTTTCAAGGACACAACAACAAAATGGTGTGGCTGAACGCATGAATAGAACCACCACAGAGCGTGTCAGAAGTATGAGGTTGCATGCAAGCTTGCAAAGATGATTTTTAGGCAGAAGCGATGAACACTGATGTTTATCTAATCGATCGTGGTTTGTCGGTACCTTTGAATGAAGGCTTACTTGAAGAAGTCTGGAGTGACAAAAAGGTAAATCTATCTTATCAGAAGGTATTTGGGTGTTCTTCATATGTACATGTTACTACAGGGTCTAAAAGTAAACTTATTTAAAATTTTTCTAGTGCACTTTCATTGGGTATGACTCAGATGAATTTGATTATAAATTCATGCTATCAGAATCATAAGTTCATTAGGAACAGTGGTATAATCATATTATATATAGTTAGTTTCCTACGACACTCTTAAACAATGAAACGTAGACACCAATCCCTTGAAAATCTAATGATTTCTTTCAGGCCCCGTTAGCCCTGCTAGCTATAACAACATAGTTTAATACTAACATAATTATATTATATTATTATGTATATTTCATGCATCATAAGCAAAATAAAAAACATATATATAATTATACAATATTCATCAATATTTATACACAATCATGAATTTGCAATAATAAAATTTAACACATAAAAATTATAGAAAAATAATAATATTGAAAACGTGAGATGCAAGTTATTAACAAGCGTTTATGTAGAATCTAAAAATAGTGAAATATTTTTGTAGTGTTTTCATTTCAAATTTGAAAGTTTTAATGCATTAGATAGTTATATGATCTCTATAGTTATTAGATTAAATTATACATTAATTTCCAATGTTTATAATATGACATCAACAAGCCTTTATAATATCATTAAGTGGGGTCGGCTACATGAATTATTTTTCTCAATTTTGTTATATTGAGTGTCATATTTTCATTCAATTCTAATAAATTAAGATCATTTCTTATACAAGGTGTCCAAGACTTCTTAGGTCTACCCTTACCTTGGCATAAGTTAAAATCCAAAATATCTACTCTCCTAACAAGTTCGTCAGATGGTTGACATTTAATGTTATCTAACCATCTAAGACGACACTCTCTAATTTTGTTTGCCACTGGAGTTACTCTAACCCTTTTACGGATATATTAGTTTCACATTTTGTCTCTTAGTATAAAACCACTTGTCCACCTGACCTTTCTAATAATAAGAAAATTTAGAAAATTGTTTGATAATTGTTCTATCCATCATGCACAGATGACTCAGTGGTCATAATATATTTCATAAATTATATATATGCATATCTCATCATACAAATTTTCATAATTTTTTGTTTTCAAATACATTTGGATTTTCTTAATAATCTTTGAAATTCTGTGAGGATCATGAAAAATTATCAAATATTGTGTAGAAGTTATAATTTTTTGGTGAATCGACATTCCATTTTGTCAAAGCATCTTGAATATAATATAAACCTTTTGATTAATTAATTCAATTATGGTCTTTGATTTGTAAGTGCAAGATGATTATTACTTGTTTTACATAATTAATTAAATTATAATGGATTTTAACCTTATGTATTTTTTTTATTATTTTTTAAAATTTTACCTCAATTATTAAAAATTATAAATAATGTGAAAATTTATTAATAAAATTTGTAAATGTTTATGATTTGATTAGTCTAATTAGAGCCATAATTCACTTTGTATGATCCAAGGTGGGTTATTTCTCCAATTTTCTTAATAAATAATCATATTTTTCATAATTATTTTTTTCTATATAAGTATAAAAAATGTGAATTGATTTTCATTTATGAAAATCATGGAAAAAATGGTAATAGTTCATGATAATTCTTGATTTTAAAAATCATTGAATTTGATACTATAATGATAATAATATCAATTTTAAAAATCAATTGATATTTGCTTATTTAATATTTGATAAATTTAATAAAATTAATAATAAATCATTTGACATTTAAACTCTTAATTATAAACTTTTGATGAAGATTTTGATCATGTGCTATGAGCAAAATTCTAGATTAAGAGTTTGTTTAGGGCAGTTTTTTTTATTGATTCATTTTTTATACTTTTGTTATACATTCATTTAGCCATTAGTTTTTTTGCAGCTTTTAAGCTTGACCAGTCATTTCTATCATTTTTTTATTCTTTTCCAATTCCCAACATCCTTTTCAGCTTGTTCACTCTCTGACTTTGGGATTGCATATTGTTTTTTTCATGTGAAGAGAGTCATATTGCTTGATTATGGCGATTCATCCTATTGTTTTATGGACCAACTTATTTTGAAGCATAAATTATCCTATTAGGATAAAAATCATATAAAAAAATGGCATATTTCTCTTATTGAGAGTATTCCTTAGATATTCTTGAACATAATTATCCTCTGTGAATCCATTCTCTTTGAGAGATGGATTGACATAAAACTTTTGGTTTTAATTAAAAAAAAGGATTGAAAAAATGATTTTTACATACCTGAAATCTAAAAGATAAGGATTTATATCCTAAACATCTATACTCTAATCTAAACACCACTTTATATCATTACCATTCCCTTCGCTCTGTCATTTCGCTCGCCTCCATCACTCGCCTCCATTGATATACACTTCTGTTTCCATTTTTCCATCTCCTGTTGCTTGTGCCAGTTGAGAACATCAGATTGTTTCCATCACTCCATAACCATGGAAAGCGACTGAGTGCAATAATAATGAAGCCATCATGGATTGGATAAAAATCAGAAATGAATCCCCTTCAGAAAGATCTCAACGAGAAAATGGTAACTTCTTCGTGCCCATTTGCGGTGGGCGGCGATGTGGAAGGAGGAGCGACGGCCATTACTGTGGTTTTTTAGATGATTCTGGGTTTTATACGGAGGATAGATTCCACCAATTTGATATCACTGAACTGAACCATGATAATGAAATCTTGTTTGATGCTCAGCTGGCCATAACTCAAGCCCCAATCCATCTTTGTTGGTGAGCTCCGGGTGGTTCGTGTGATTCCAATTCCGACGGCTTATCGACAAAGCAGCGCAAGGTAAGGAATAGCATGCCGTGCCGGCCGGTGACAGTGCTTAATATGGCTGTAAGTAGTATTTAACATTAGTAGAATTCAGTAGATCTGTAAATATGTAAGTCCTTTGAATTCACCCATCCCCTGAATTTCTCCTGATTCAAGCTGAATCAAAGGCACAAATTGGGGCTGCTAAATCCGAAATTTCATTAAAATTTCGATCATTTGGCTGGATTTAATAAATCCAGTGACAAATCCTATCAGAATGCACAACCAAACAACTGCAATCATCCTTATCAGAAACAACACAGTGCCAGCATCCTATGCTTTGAGGATGG